CCCTGCAATTGTGCTCACAACCCTGGACATTAATTTACCAGCAGAAAATGTTTTGTCAAAGATGAATGCTGCAAGTCTTCTGGGAAGGCACTGTGAGCAGGAGCACACTTCTCATGGGCAGTTTGGGCAACAATGCCTTGAGAAAGAGGCAAAGGCTAAGCAGATGCTCATGAGAGGGAAGGGAGAGGCGGCAAAAACAGACTAGAGACCAAGAGGCAGACGGGGTTGTGTTGCAGACTATGCAAAATAGTCTTGAAGCATTTTTCTGTCTTACAATAGCTCATTTGTGTATTTTCCAGTCTGAGAAAGTAGATGTCATAGACTGAAAATCTCAGAGTCACAAAACGTTCAGTTTACGTCACATTAAGCTTCTTACCATTTGGGGACTTTATTTATTTCTTTAATTATTGTTACTATTATTTTTTGAGGATTTCATATACATACACAGTGTGTTTTGGTCATGCTGGTTTGACTCCGTGTGGACTTGAAGCGCATGACAAGGTCCCAATTGAGGTTTAGTAAGGATCAGGAGAAAGCAAATAGGCCGAATAGATGTTTATTTAGGGAGAAATAACTCACAACATAGACAGATGAGCAGCAGCAGGTTCCTGGTCCCAAGGATCCTTCCGGATGCTCTCCTGTCTCCGTGCTGCAAGTAAGGGAGGTCCCGGGGCTCCCTCCTCAGACTTAGTTCCCCCAGGTCATGTCCGCCTCTGTCCCCACCACCAATGGGCATGATCTGTGCCAAAGGTGTGGACAAAGTGAATGTCTCACTACAGGTCCCCTTCTGTGTTGACTGTATTTGTGCTGACATCACGCTCTGAGTATTACAGTGAAATGTGGGCACATCTTGGAAGGGGAAAAGCCAGGATGGCGTTAGACACAATGTATAAACAGACTTCATGTGTTAGTTTTTGCATGGCTAGTCATTATTTGTTTATTTTCATTTTAATTTATGTGTATGAGTGTTTGCCTGCATGCATGCACACGCATGGCGTACCAGCTTAGTGCCTGTGGAGGCTATTAAAAGGCTGTGGCTGCCCTGTAACTGGAGCTATAGGTCGTTGTAAACTGACAAGTGGGTGCTGCGAACAAAATCCAAGACCTATGCAAGCACAGTCAGTACTTTTAACTGGTGGCCAACTCTCCAGCCCAGTTAGTCATTTCTGAATACCATGGGCTCCTTAACCCATTGTTGACTGCTGAAGTAGGAAGTCACAGATTCAAGAAAGATGGCTAAATCCACCATCACTTAGTTCACATGAAATATTTTCTAATGAGTCCTTCCTCTTTGGTTTTGTCTTTTTTATGCATGATCTCACTGTGGCTGAAGCTGGCCTTGACCTGCCAATTGCTGGGAACAGAGTGCTTGTCACCACGTCAGACTCTCCACACATCTGAACCCACACAGTATAGGTAGCAATGATGTTACTAAATAAACTTCTGAAGAAGATTGATGGACTAGGCCATTGTACAAATGCATAAAGATTTAGGGAGCACAGTGAAATGTGATTTGTTCTGTCCTCACTATGGAATTCGCTATGTAGCTTAGCAAGTTCAATCAGACTGTGGCTGTATCTGGGGCTGTTCTTCCTGTTACAGCTGTATGACAGTAGGGTGTCCTTATAAGATAATGCATGCATTTAACTCAGTGGTGAATACATGTATGTCAGTGAGTGATAATTACCTATTGGAGGCCATATACCTGATCTTACTGCAAATTGTGATCTCATATATTAGTTTAGTTTATATTTCTACAGTTTAAAACATCTATCCATTCTAGAAGGGTGGTGCCCAACCTATAGGTTATGAATCCCACAGGGATAACATATCGGATATCCTGCATATCAGATATTTACGTTATGATTCATAAAAGTAGCAAAGTTACAGTTACAAAGTAGGAAGGAGATAATTTTGTGGTTGGGGGTTGCCCTGTTTGGAAGTTTTTATAAAAATTTTGCCTTATTCCTAAGAGAATAAGTACGATTAATTCATTGTGGAAATCCTACTGCATGGACCCGAAACTTTTTCTCTATGCTCTGTCCTACCCCCTGTCTGTATGTAAATGAAGCAGGAAATGAAATTGAGAGTAAATTACACCAGGAGTTGAGGGAGACATTTGAAAACTGAAACAACTTTGTATTGGAGGTCAGGTGCCCTTGCACTGTGAGGCTACTCATTTCCCCTTCTTTCTTTACTGAACGGACTAAAAATTGAACCAGGATGAGCTGTCAGTCAGCCTTTTGAAATAAGATAATATACCTAATAGAAGCTACTAAAAAGGATAGCAATTTACAGAGCCCCAAGTGGGAAACATCCTACTGGCACTCAGATGGCCCAGACAGTCCAGCGGCTTCTGCGCAAGGTGAGCGCCATGCCCTAGCTGATGGTGCAATGGGAGCCATCCTTGGAACCAATAATAAGTGTGAGCTGTTTCCCTTAAGAATTTTGGGAGATGCCATTTATTAATTGTCGATCACAGTACCAATTTGTTCAAGGGTACCTCCCAACTTTCTCTTCTAAGAGGTTCAGTGTGGCTGGATTTATGTTGAGGTCTTTGATCCATTTGGACTTGAGTTTTGTGCAGACTGATATCTGGGAAACCAGCATGGGACTGACTCAGACCCCCTGAATATGGGTCTCAGCTCGAAGGACTGGGCAGTCTATGGGACCTCTGACAGTGGAACCAGGATGTATCCCTGGTGCATGAACGGTCTTTGGGAGCACATTCCCAATGGAGGGATACTCCCTTAGCCTAGAGACAGGAAGTAGGGCCTAGACCCTACTCCAAATGACTTAACAGATTTTGTTGATCTCTCCTGGAAGCCATCACCCTACTTGTAGAGTGTGGGTGGGTGGGGGGATGGGAGGGTGGTCAGGGGGCATGGGAGGGAGGGGGAACTGGGATCAATAAAATAAGAAAAATAAACAAAAATAATAGAATTTTAGGAGAACAGAGAGTGAATGGCCCAAATGAGGGTCCTCTTGGAGCCCAGGGGTCAGCCGATGCTTGCTGAGGTGACAGTATAACAGGAGCAGCACTTCAGAGGGGCCACTACTTAAAGGAACCTCTCCAGCTGGTGCTTGGTGCTTTGAGCCTCACTTGAGTCTTCTTGGAAGTGTTGGCTTGCCTATGTGGCTATACTTGGACCGTGCTACAATGTGTCATGGAGAGCTGTCAGAGCCAGAGAGAGAGGAGGAAGATGAAGGAAAGGCTGGTATTTTTATTTATTTGGTTTTCGTCTTTAGCTCCACCTTAGCTGGCACAGTCAAATGTGTGCTGTCATAGAGTGGTAAAAAAGTCAGCTAAGCGAATGTGAGACACAGTGGAAAGGAATCTGGGAACCTAGGAAGCTCTGGAGGCAATCACTTGTTAGTATGTTCTATAGTAACATTTGGTCCCTGATACTCCCAATGCATAAAGCATTTTCTACAAAGTAAGTTTGAGTTCAGAGCATTGTTTTAAAAAGTGAACTCCTTGTGTTTCTCCTGTCTGAAACAATGTAAACAAAGACTTTTACATTGTATCTCTTCTTTACACAGATGCAACATGTAGGCTTGCTCTTGGGAGCTTGCACAAGCCTTTTAGAGTTCACGTGCAAGCCATTTTTGACTACTCTATGTTTGCAGTATAATCTGTGGCTCCATCTGGGAGTGCATCTGGAGACTCTATTTTTGTTATGTGGTCTGCCTCATGGTTTCTCCACCCTGTCTTCTTCCAGGCATTGCCTTAGATTGTTGGAATTTCTTCACCCTTGGGCACAAAATTCCTGGAGAAACCAGGTAGTTTATATCTGCTTAGGGTGGCCCACAGCCAATATCTCACTGGTTCAAAGTGAGAAGCCCAGCCCTCTCTTAATTTCACTATGTCCTCCTTGGGCAAATCCCGGCTGAGAAAAGCTGATCTCTGAAATAGTGCATTGACTGACTCTCCTACCCTTGCCTGGCTTCCTAACTCTTCAAGACATTCTCCTAGAGCTTGTACTCAATATATCTTCTTATCAGACAGTTTCCTTTTAATATCTTGCTTATAGGGACTCCAAAACAGGCTTTATGTTTATTTACTAATACCCACCTATTTTGTACGTGCAAAAATGGTATCCAGATACCAAAGTGTTCTAAGGTGGTGGATTTTTTTTAAGCAGATAAAGATAATTCACATTATTCACATTACCACTGTGGTTAAACAGTAGAAGTAAATATGTGTTCCTATAAAAACAAAGCAATATTTGACATTTCTAATAACTAAGATATTTATAGCCTTTCTAGAGGTTCTCAAAGAAAATCCAAACCTGGAGTTGGTTTTCCATTAAATGTGATTTTTTTTTAAAAAAAAATAAATCACTTTTATATTTCATGAACAGGGTTGGGGGCACAGCCATGTAATGTCAGCGGTTGGGAGATAGGGTCAGGAACACCTGGGGTTTGAAGGCAGCATGGCTTCATAGTGAAACACTGTCTCAAAATAACAGGACAAAAAATAAAACGACAATAACAACTAAATAAAAGTAAAACCAAACCAAACTAAAACGCTTTGGTGTCCATAGACCAGTTTTTCTTTATCACAGTAGTAATATAGAATGTACTGAGAAAGTGAACACTTCTCCCTAAAGTGTATTTGTTAAAGATTTATATGATTTCTTCCCAATATAGTTTCCTATCAGCTGATAAATTCAGGGCATATCAAAGGTATTATCATTTCTCTTTTTGCAGATATTAAGACCGTTTCATCGATCTCATCTAGAAGTCACCCCTACTCTAGTGAGAGCGAAGAGGATTCTACTGACATGTGTGCAGAAGCCCACTCTGGGAACAGTGCAGGGGCAAGTTCCAGAAGTTCCTCCTCTCAGGACCTACAGGAAAATGACGACCGAGGGAAATTCCACCTTCCTGTCGAGGAGTCCTTGGAAACTGAGATTGAAGAGCAAGAAATCACAAAAGTAGATGTGGATGACGTACCTCCGTTGACAGAGGTTAGTTGTACACACGTTGCTGACGAAGAGCCAAGAGAGGGAACGCAAGAGTTTACAGAGAGTGAACCAAAGGCATCTGGGCAGTCAGAGGTTAAGGGTCAGCTCCAGGAAGGAGGCGTCACTGTGGCGGAGGACAGGAAAGAAGGCCTCCCTGGGGTGGAAGAAGAGGGTAAGTAAGACCAATGAGATGACACACTCACGTACCTGTGCATGGAAGCTGATTTGGTTACTGCGACTGCCAGAGCCGGGAGATCAGTCTGGATGATTCTGGAAGGATTCTATATTTCCCTTTCTCCTTGTCACAGAATTTCACATGTATTTTCAGCTTGCTGTTTTCCTTCTATTGCATTTAAAAAAAATGACTTGATCATTCTTACATAGCCTGTTTCCTATTTTCTGTAAATTCCTTCCTATGGTAATTCTATCTCAAAAATCAAATAAAACACGATGCATGTGTGATGTCAAAGATATGTCTGCCTTCTTAGAGGTTGATACCAGCATTGCTGTTTGTTCTGAGTCACTGACACACACGCGCGCGCGTGTGTGTGTGTAGCTCACGTGGGTGCTGCTCAGCATGTCGTGTGCATGACTGTATGTTGGATGTGAATCACCACATCATAACCACTGCCATCTCTTCTCTGCTGGGGAAGCAGCCGTTTCTTATGCAGGTCGTGTTGCCAAGAACCGTACAGCCAAGGGGGGCAAACATAGGGTTGGCCCCAGAGTTAGCAGAGACCTCTGTTATTAAAAATTATTAAAATCCCCTAAGATGTTTCAATATTCACTCTGAATTATTGACACCGAGCTCTTTCATGATCTCTGGGTTCCCAGAGTGTGTGGGCAGGTCCTGCTTGATGATAAAATTTTAGGGTGTTGGACAATATGTCATAGACACACGGAGATCAGAGGCTTCGGTCCCCGTGGAGAAGACCGGGAATGGACAGAGCTAGCGGATTGTGCCTTTCTGACAGCTGCCTGTCACAGAGCACCCTGTACTCTGCCAGGCCTCCAGGTCCCCACCATGCTCTCTTACCTGCCTCCCCGACACTGCAGCAAGTGTTCTGTCGGGTTCCAAGTTGAATTAGTTTCATATTTTTATATTATAAAGTTCAACTGTTTAAAAAAATGAGTTTTTTTAAATTGCTATATGTTTTACATTTCTAAATGCTATTGTTAAACTAGTGAGGCCCACATAAGGAATAGGGGCTATGGAAGAGTTAGCGATCTGTTCAACTGTTAATGTCACTACTACCATGCAATGGAAACTCTTCCCATAAAGCGTTGGAGGCATTGACAAGTGGGCTGATGTTACTGATTGTGACTCAAATCAGAGAAGGGATGTGATGATGTGGAATTTCAAGGTAGCACAATGCCATGTGCCTAAACAGGAGCTGAGCAAGGATGACACCAGGGGACATGTTGATGTGAAAGGAGACAGATCTCAATGTCCCAACCCCAGACTAAGAGCTACAGGGAGCCAAGGAATGCTGAGAGCGGAGAAATAGTTTACCCCGGGGAGGAGCATGCTAATTGGGCATCCAGTACCCAGTGGTCAGCCCTGAAGACACATACATACAAGTAATATTGTATGCACTGAGCAGGATGTATATATATTTAGTAATACACATGTATATTACATGTATATGTTATATGAGTGTAATAGCGCGCGCGCGCACACACACACACACACACACACACACACGTAACAATACTTAAAGAAAAAGAGTCCTTAACTTTGATGGAAAGCAAGGGATGTATGTTCAAGGGAGGTGCTTGGAGAGAGGAAAGGCTAGGGGGAAATGATGTAATTACATTATATTGTCAAATTCATTAAGAAAGGAAGAAAGCTTTCTTGAGGAATATGTTTGATGAGGATTTTAAGGCTGGTTACAAGTTGGAAGGTAGGGACATGAGACAAAGTAGTGGTCTACACAGGCATGTGACCTTCAAGTGAGCCCTCAAAAACAGTTAGTGTAAGCTAAAAATGGATTTTACATTTTAAAATGACCCACAAATCAGAAGGAATTTATTTACTTAGTTTGTTACTGAAAGGGGATTCCATCCTGGCCCTTGAATTATACCACAAATAGCATGACCTTTCAAAAGGATTGCTTTATGTGAATTAAAATTAAAACATTCTCAAAATACTTTGATAAAAATAATTAATATCTTTGACCTTGGATTTCATCATTATACTCTGGTAGCGTATAACAGGTTAAGGAAAATCCCACAGTTTAGCAGTTACTAATGAAGAACGCTGACCTGTGGTGTGGAGACACAGCTCGGTGAGCAATACTTGCCCAGCACATGTGGGCTCTGTATTGGAGCTCCAGAAGTGGGAAAAACAGATTTTGTAGGATCTGCATTCTCGGGAAATCCAGAACCTCCCCAGAAACTGTTCCCACTCTGTGGCCCATAATACAGTCATATATTGTAAATATCAGAAAGTTCATAGAGACACCACATTTCTTAGGATGAGCAGAATGCCATCTCATACTTAGAGATTTGTGACATCAATAAAATGTACCCTTATATCAAGTTATTGTGTGTATAAACAACACATGTATGTATGCGTGCATATGTATGTGTAGATGCACACATATGCACATGCATAAATAATATATTTTCCTTTCAAGGACTGCATACAAATACAGCATACAGGAACACAATATATTTAATAAGTATTTGGCCTAACTTTAATAGTACTGCTATAATAAAGTACACCAGGCCCAATGCCTGAGATAACACACTTTGTATAAAGCTTTTCTTAAGGTGAAGTTAGAAGACTTATAGAGTTAAAATCAAGGTGTCTGGAGGCCTTCATTTCTGGAAGCTTAGATGAGAATAGATGCCGTCCCTTCTCCAGTTCATTTGCTTGACTCTCTCACCAGCTTCATTTAAAATCCTGCTGCACCCGTTCTAAGTCTGACTTCTCTTTCCTCAGACTTCTGCTCCCCTAGTCCTATCTCCTCAAACTCTTGCCCCCTGCCTAAACCATACACGGGTGCACACACAGACTCCTCACGCCGAGGCTCTTTATCATGTGCGCAAAGGTGTGTTTGGCATGCAAGGTGATACTTGAAGGTTTGAAGGATAAGGATAAGGCCTTTAACGCAGGGGACACTATCCAGTGTTCTAAACATTTCAAACAAATTAAGAATGCATGAATCACTTGACACGGGCAATAAGAAGCAATCAAAAGTAGAACTTACAGAAAATAAATTATTTATCCTGTAATACCATGTATTGAAATAAATGACAGAAAAGGAAAAGTTACGTGAAATATTTGAAGCATAGATTTCTACCTATATTTATATAAGTAATTGGAAAGTAGGGTGTCCATAACATGGATTGTAATATGCTGATGAATAAAATAAGAGAGATGCTGAACATTTCAGTAGATTTTATCACTCATATTCTAGGAATGATAAGTATATTTGCGTATTTTCTCAAACACATGGGGAAACATTTCACTTGATACTTCTAATTTCACAGACACTTTGTAATCTTTTTATTAATACAGGTTTGGCACTAGAAGGCAAGGGATGAGACTTTGTTAAGCTTTAATACATGAGCTAAGTTTAATTGTTTGATGTTTATTTTTATTCATATGCATATGTAAATGATATGGAATGTATCTATCTACAAATTAGAGAAAGGAAGTTTAAAAATTACTCATGCATTTATTACATGAAAAATCATTTTTATTGTTTGGTGTTGATCAGTCTTTTAACCTGACATTTTATAGTCGATTTTCATATTTTATAAATTTATAAAGCTTTTGCAAAGCCTCACGATCTGCCTCATGCTTCAACATGACTCTGAAAACACTCCTGTATGGCTTCATCCTAAGTGTCCATGTATTCCATTCTGGGGCAGACATTCTTTATGTCCATGTATTCCATTCTGGGGCAGACATTCTTTATGTCCATGTATTCCATTCTGGGGCAGACATTCTTTATGTCCATGTATTCCATTCTGGGGCGGCCATTGTTTATGTCCGTGTATCCATTCTGGGGCGGGCATTGTTTTCATACATATGTTCCATTTCCATACTGCTGGGTGTTTATATTTTCACTTTCATTTTGGTACATCTTTTATTCCCCTTATGTTTAGCAGTACTTTAGTTACCTAATTTATTTCACATTCCCAAGCATTTCCTCAAGATGGGTTATAAAAAGTATAATTCCTGTATCAAACATTACAGATATTTCTGCGGGCCTTGACGGACGTTCTTCTCACTCACAAACAATCGGCTCCAAAGTTTGAGTATTGCAAGGACAAGGGCCGAGTGCCAGTAACAGCTTACTCCGCTCCTTTCCTGTCTTCCTCAGATATGTGCTACGGCTAATAAAACACTCATGATCTTAGACATGTTACAGAGATATACTTAAAGGTTGTGAACATAAAACAGTGGAAGAGTAGTGTTTCCTGTTAGTTACAATTTAAAAAGCATATAGAAGGAATTTTAGGTGTGGGTATGTGTGCGTGTGTGTGTGTGTGTGTGTGTGTGTGTGTGTGTGTGTGTGATGCTGGGACTGAACCCAGGGTTTTTAGCCTTGTAGCCAAGTTTCCCCTGGTGATCCATATCTGCAGCTTCATTCTGTACTTGTATGTGTGAATTAAGAGTAGTCGACACGTATAATTTAAACCTAAGTAGGGTATGACTAAAATAAAATGTTATCTGTTGTTATGTGCACAGCATAAAACAGGTCTGCATGAGTGCAGACAGATCTGAGCAGAGCTGAGGTCTAAGTACAAGGTCTGATTGAGTGTGGACTTACACAGTCGCCTGTTCCAGTAGACATGCTTTGTGTCAAACACTTCTTCGTGCAAATATAACCAAGTCCTGACTATGCAGAGTTTGTGATTAGGGAGGAAATACCTTTAACAGATGGATAATAAACATGATGGGTTACATGGTGTGAGAATGAGGAGGCAGAATAATTGTTTAGGGGGTACCTTTTGAGGGCTGGCTTCTCGGCTGATGGCACATTTGAGCAGAGACAAGAGGAAAGACCAAAGTCAGACCTGCAGGGGATCTGAGGGACAGCTAGGAGCCATAGTCCTGGACTGGGAAGGAGCTGCTGACAGTTTGGAAAGGAGGCTGATGTGATGGCGTAGGGTTGAAGGGAGGGCAAAAAGGGCAAAGAGGAGAGGGAAGGGGAGAGGGAGAGGGGAGGAGAGGAGAGGGAGCCTTACAGACCACCGCGAAGCACTTACTCTGCCATGGGAAATATTTCCACTGGACAGATGACATGAGCTGGAGGTTTGAGAAGGATGACTCTTGCTACTTTAGGGAAGATAGAGTCTGTCCTTGAACAGCTGTGGCCTTCAGCTTATAATTAATTCTGGGTTTTGTGGGCCATGCTTCAATGTCACAGGTAACACCAGAACATCTTCACTGTGGACGCAGATGAGGTTAGCTGTGAGGCTGTCATGGTGAGTTGTGAAGAGGGTAATCGATTATCTGCAAAGATTGAGCAAGACACAGAGATAGTCTCCAAGGTGAATGTGGGCTTAGAGTGAACTTGAATATTCTTTACTCTGTTTCCATGGGTTTTTATGGTTTAGAATTTCAGATGCAGCCATTGGCATCATTTCCCTCCACCATGGAGCGCTCAGTATGCTTATCATGTTTAAGATGGGGCCAGTTCATTTCGTTTCACCTCTGGAAGAGGAGAAGGGATGAGTCGGCTCTCCTTGAGGGAACAGGTGGAGAATGTAAAGGTGCAGCAGGCTGCCAGCTAAGACACTTGCATTTTGAGATCTGAAACTGTGGAAAAGAGAAGCAATCATGAGAATTAAAGTCAGTATGGTGTGGGTGTTTTGTGGCTCTAACAGTGTTTTTGTTAGTGTACTAGGCATCTCTCTTTGCACTACACTAATTCCTCCTTAGACCATGCTGGCTACCAAATACTTGCTTCCTCACAAAAGAAAACAAACTAAATCACTAAAACCCCCAAAATGCACAGTACCTGGGAGCTCTTGAATGAATCCCTGTTCGCTTCTTGTTTCTCTGCAGGTTTTTCTATTCACCTGAGCTGGGTAAGAAACGGATGCAGAAAAATTTACTTTTACAAAACCACAGAAGTAAATACCGCATCCTGGTTTTTAGTTGGCAAAATTACAACCCTTATTGCATCTTCGTCATCCTAAATATTTTATCTTTTCTTAGATTCTAAGTTTATGATGAGGGAGGCTATGGGAGCGTCTAACCTACTCATTTAGACCATGTGGACAGACTGTGCTTCAAAAGGTTCAACTATTATTAACTATTTATTAACTATTTATGGCCCAGCCATGTATTTGCTTCCTTCCTATGAGAGCCTGAGATTTGGCACCTCATGGTGTGGTTTACGTCCCCCACTGTTTGACTTTTTGCAGTGTGGCCCCCACTTTCTTTCCTGGCCTCCTGGCTGGTGCTAAGACCTAAGACATGAGGACCATAAGACTGGATTCGAAGAGGGGCTGATCAGAAACCCTGAAAACCCCAGGGCAATTAGTGGTATGAGCTCTGGTGCTCTGGGTTTCCCTCCCTCGGTTCTGTTTGAAATCAGGAATACCATAAAGGGTCGCACTTGGAAAGTTCGAATTTTTCTCTTGGATCATGGGCATGTTCACCATTCACATGCCATACAATTCACAGAGTTTGTTACGCGAGAGCATGACAGAAAAAGACACAAGGTACTCCCTAGAGTTGATTTCCCATGAGAAAGGAAGGAACTCAACAGAAATTTAAGAACTGGTCTGCTAAGAACATCAACTCTCAGTGGTGTTAGAGCTGTAGGAAAGCTGGGACATTCTCCCTCAGAATGGCTGTGGAGAGCAAGATTCTGAGCCAATGCCAGGACCCAGGGTGGCCTCTCTGCCAAGAGGGCCAGAGCCTAGTCTCCTCTTCCTTCCCATGTAGCTCTTAGGTTCATGATTTGGAATTTATAACTACTGAGCTTAACACATCTGAGGAGGAGGCAGCGACAGTTCTTATGAGATGCTAAGGGCTTTCAAGAAGCTCCCACGCTGTTTTACATGAAAGCACATAAATAACCCCCACTCCTTCCCAAATACTGCCAATAACTGCCACTCCTTCCCAAAAGATAATGACAAAAACGGCATCAATTTGATTCAGAAGGTTGGCTCACTGTTCCCTTTCCCTAAGAGCACCCAGTACAGGTTTTGGAGTCCACATTCTATGGTAACAGTGCAACAAAGCTGGGAATCATTTGCATGGTTAAAATATGCTCTCATAATATAAATGAGAAACTCCAAGTTCTCAAATAGTTCTTGTATCAAAGAAAAATTTCATTCCTTAATTATAGATTATGCCATTAGGACAAGAAAATGCTATTTTAAAGATGATATATTTCAAACCATAGACTCATATAATGATTCCACTCAAGCTATAGTGGAAAAAAATTGTTAAGTAATGCATAGCAAATATGCAAAACCTACAACACTACTTTCAGAAGTGTGTGAGAAGGGGAAGTATAGTGTCTTGACTGAATAAAAGTCTGCGATAAGTAAGAAATCACTCGAAGAAAGTAAAAGACTAAGTAAAGTATGCTGGTAAACTTTCCAGATTATATTCTCAGCTCAATGTAGTGGAACAAAAAAATAAAAAAATAAAAAAATAAAAGAAAGAAAAAAGAAAAAAAAAAGGAGCTAAGAGCTAAGAGCTAGTACCAAATAATTAGAAATTATTTAGTATTAGCAACAACAACGATTCAGCAATCACTCTAGCAAAGGAAACTGGAGAAAGCTTTGCCTTGTATGCTTTTCTATTTTTTTTTTTTTTTTGAATATTTCTGCCTCTAGGTTAAGGGAGTATCCCTCCATGGGGAATGTGCTCCCAAAGTCCTTTCGTGCACCAGGGATACATCCTGGTTCCACCATCAGAGGTGAGACCCATGTTCAGGGGCTCTGTCGGTCCAATGCTGGTTTCCCAGCTGTCAGTCTGGGGTTCATGAGCTCCCCCTTGTTCAGGTCAGCTGTCTCTGTGGGTTTCTGTAGCCTGGTCTTGACCCCTTTTCTTATCACTCCTCCCTGTCAGCATCTGGATTCTAGTTTGGCTCAGTGTTTAGCTGTGGGTGTCTCCTGTTTCCATCAGCTACTAGATGAGTTTGCCTTTTATGTTTAACAGAGTTGATATTTTTAATAAGGAAAGAGTTGTAAGAAAAAAAAAGGTTCTAAAAAAAATCAATAGGAAAAATCCAGCCACAATGCATCAGGAAATTCACAATTTATTAAACAATGTGGCTATACTCCATATCCATTAGGTACATAAAGTAGACATTAGTCACATAAATATGTGAGTGTGTGCATGTTTGTGTCTGTATGTGTGCACGTGTGTGTGTTTGTGTGTGTGTGCTTGTGTGTGTGTGTGTGTGGTGCTGGGGGTCTAGCCCGGGTTCTGGAACATGGTAGGCACGTGTTCTATCACTGACTGCATCTTCAGCCTGAATCTTTATTTGAAGCTCCGTATCACTTGTCAAACAGTGGGTCACAGCCCCTTGGTGTCCAATGATCCTTTCACAGGGCCGCATATCAGATACCCTACACATCAGATATTTTTGTTACGATTCATAACAGCAGCAAAATTGCAGTTATGAAGTAGCAAGGAAATAATTTTATGGTTGGGGTCTCATCAGGAAGGTTGAAAACAACTTGCTCTATATGTACTGAAAGACTTTTTTTAATCTGTTGAGTGGAAAAACAGAATATGCTGCTAAAATGACAGAGACATGATAGTCTTTCCAGAGTAAGAGCAACGTAAGTGAAGCCTATCATCAACCCACATGTACAAATCATGGATGGTCTTTTATTTATTATTCCATATTATTTTCTTTTTTAGATTTACAAAATTACTTTATACCATTATTATGTTTAGGGAAGCATGGCACGTATTACTGGAAAATATATTTGTTTTAATAATGGAAACTGATATTGTTATACAAAGTTATTGCAGTATTTCAAGCACTATTATGAGGTTCCGTACATCACTGGGGTGGAAAAGATGATTTTCTCTGAAATTCCCTGTATGGAACCATCCATTTGTTGAGTATCCTGGGAGACGTGACAATGACTCTGGCCTTTGGTGTTCACCTTTACAGAGCACTAAGGGACAGGATGAGGGGAGAGAGAAGCTAAGCTGCGGGCCAGATGTGTTACCCAGGAGTCTGGGCATGCACAGCCCTCTTTCACTATGGGTGGAAAACTGGAGCGTGTAGAGATGGCCAAACTCTTGCTTTTGATTTTCAGCATGGAAGGGCATCTCAGGGAATTGTCCTTTGACAGTCCTTCTCTGGGTAAAGATCTGCTGTGACCTCAGCACTTAGGCCAGAGTCCCGCTCTTGCGGAACTGTGACCAACCTCTCCCAACTGCATAGCTACTTCCTCCAGAGCAGGCCAGCAGATGGACCAGGCTACAGCCCTGACCCTCTGAGACAGCGCCACCATTGATTTGGAAGAGTCGTAATGGTCAGATTAATGCATGGCTGCTTAGACTAGATTTTTGGTCTTGCTATTTAATATCTTTGCTATTTAACTATTTTTCTATTATTTATATTGTAAGCCATATTTCTTTAAATATTTTTGATTAACATTCACTGCAATGATTTCATTATGATATTCGCATCCATATATGACACAAATCCTTTTTTTTTAATTCTGGTTCACCCATGGCCCTTGCTCCCTCTCTGTGCCGCTCTGCTCTCCTCCTAGAATGCCCACACTCCAGGGGTCTATGCCATGCCTCTCCCGTGACTCATCTTTTCAGCCTTTCTCATTGCTTGAGCCCTCTTCCTCCCGCCGCAAGCCACCACCCACCTTCCTGTCTACACACTCATCTGAGTTTGCATTTAGATCCCACATATGAGAGAGAGAACCGGTAGTGGTCATCTGCTGCCGTTTGGCTCATTTTGGTAAACCCCTCATTTCCTTAACACAGATGTCTGCTGGTACTGCTGAGTCCATCCCTGGCCCAACTTCCTGGTGACTGCCATTGCTCAGTCAACCCAACTGTCTTATTCCAATCCCAAAACTATTGCTTATTTAAACTGTAAGTACACCACATTACGATGACATACAGTAGACAAAATGATATGTGAGTTCCATGTCCTCCATCCTACATGTCCTAAACTGGCTCTGTAGCACATGCAACTATAACAGAGTTGCCCTGAGGTGAAGTCATCTCCAAACTGCGGTGTTGTAAGTAAATGTTTCAGTTTGCACATTGCAATTAATTAAGAAACCTAACGTTCAGAGAAAATAGTAAACAATGTATCTGAGCTCTATGATGTTCTACTTTCTGTTTCCATCTTTGTACTAACATAACCTTCCCCACTGAGATCCACCTGGAGATTTCTTCCTAAACCACTAGTTACCTCTCAGAAATGTATTTCAGACTAGTCAAGAATGAGAGATGGCATTATAGTTTTTATCAACGTGTAGTCCTTGGGTTAGCCTGCGTTCTGAAGTCAGAAGGTGAGGAAGAGGAGGTAAAGAAGGAAAGGGGGTATGGGAGCAGAAGGGGGTGGGCAGGATACTGATACACTGGGTTTTCACTACTGAAGGCAGAGCTCAGTCTCACATTATTCAGGGGGCTTCGGTTGGCTACAGGGTGACATGTTTTTGTATCATTATGAAGTTAGTCACAGGCCATCAGACACTAAAGACAAATGTACTTGACTGCACAGTTTACCTCAGCTTGGACTATAGTGACAAAACAGGCAGACTGTCCCTCGTCACCCACACCATGCAGTAACAGCTATTGCTATTGAGTAGCATTTGCTGGTAACAGGGATGCTCTGCACATATTACTTCATTTAGTTTCCCTGGCACATTTTTCTTTCATATTTCTTCCTCTTCCGACAGGTAGGCAAACTAAGGAAACATCATGGAGAGTCGGATTTGAACCTGGACCTCTGTGCCTTGGAGGTCCACAGTAGTAGTCAGCATTATAGAATAGGAGTTTGTGTGGGAATGTGTCCTGTCAAACTGATAGGAATTCCGTGACAGCTTCTGTTCATACGGGGTGAGCACTGAGGTCAAATCATTAAATCTATGAATGGACGAAACACTCAGGGTGAGTCGCCATGAGTAGCTCTAGTAATTTAAAAGAGCAGGGTGGTTGGTGTCACAAAGGAAAGAACACGCATTTCGAGAAAGCAAAAGGCAACTCTGCTGCTTCCCCAGCCACGCCATCCACCGCACGTGCACTCGGCAACTGTCACCGCTTCTGGCTGTTGCCTTGGTTTAATGGAAGTGTCCTTTGCATGAGTCTCCTCACATCATGACTGACTGTGGTGTGCTGTGTTTTCCTTTCAAAAATCATAGCTTGGAAGCTGTCTAATCTTCACGTATTTTTAGAAGCATGTCACATTTTCATGTGAATTTGTTTAAATTAAATTCACCCCACTTACTTGAATGATGCGGAATAATGATGTCCCCGTGGCCTGTCTTACGCTTTTTGATATTTTATATGCTCTCCAATCAGTTGGACAGATAACAGGTGGAGCCCAGCCATCTGGCTCCAACACTGCAGCTGCACAAGGCACCACAGAGGACGGGGTGACACCCTCGAGGAAACCGGAGGTCAGCCTGGCTGGAGGTAAGGGCCTGTCCTACGTATTACAGGCCTGGAGTGTCCTCTACTAATCTCTGTCTTTCATCTAAAAGTCCTGCTTTCGTCCTTTTGCCCATTTATACTTATGATTCTCATGTAATGGATATGATGGCAGGAAGTGACCCCGAGGCCTGAGGGGAGCTTTGGCACTAACATTAGCTATAAGTGCTGTTTTTTTTTTTTTTTTTTAATACATTGATGTTAAAAACAAAAACAAAAGAACAAGAAGAAGAAGCCCGGTGCTAACTTTCAGATTGGTCGTCTTCTACACAGCCTTACTCCCGGTCGCCTGACCAAGCAGGCAACCTTTGCTGTTGAAGGAAGACACAGTAAGAGCCCAGCACACCCGCTGTGTTTTACAGTGGTTCATGTAAGCCTCACAGCCCTTTCAGAATTAGCAAAGAAGTCACTCTTGTCAATGTGTAATGGGGTTGGTATCCCATCAACGAGATTGCCAATTAAACATCAAGTCAATGAATGTGACTCATACATCTATCTGGTCAATGTCCTGTGTCTGTGAAGGTTGGCTTCCTCATACATGATGAGTGCTTTCTGAAAATTATTTTGATTTTTGTGTGCGTTTCTGTGTGTGTGTGTGAGAGAGAGAGAAAGACAGAGAGAGAGAGAGAGAGAGAGAGACAGAACTCGTTTATCAATATGCCCCATCTCCAGTGTTAAGAGACCTATCAAGCACTGTGAGACTCATTTCCTCTTTGGGCAGCATGAAGAGAGTCAGGTGACATTTGAGGAAGCGCTGAGTAGTCACGGTAGAGCAATGTTGAACTTTTGCAGCATTCCTTCCTTTAGACGAATTCTGGTGAACTCGCAAACACATAACAAAGCGACAGCTCCAGTAAGATGGTCTAGCTCACTGACGGCAGTGGGCTGAGATATTAGGAAGTCATGATGTTCTTACAGGAAGATGCATTACTGAGTGTTTCACCCAGCTGTACCATTGATTGATGCAAGAATTCTGACAGTCAAAATAGCTGCCACACTTGCTTCTGTGAAACTCTTTCCCCAAAGCTCTACGAGACTGCCACGAACAACACACCTTCACACACTGCTGTTTCTGAGAATGGCTTCAATTACCCATTCTTCCATGCTTTGGGAATGTTCTGCTTGACTTCTCTGTGCTGTGTGTGCTCATATAACAGCTCGGCTGGGTGCCATTGGCACATTTACTTCTAGAATTTAAACAGTATATTATTAGTTGTTGACTAGGCAATTTTATTCCCCTGTTTTCAAGAATGTTCTTTAATTAATCCATAAATTTAGAGGCCAGGTTAGAAAAACAGATGCCTTTTCAAAATGTTTCCTATAATGGACTTCTTCATAACATTTCGTGCAGGAATATGAGCAGCAACAGATAAGAAGAAGACACTTGACATCCGGGGCTGCTTCTCATTTGCCCCCCCCCCCATAACTGTGCTTTAAGTCAGTCACAGTCTATGGTGAGGTAGAAATGGGTGAATTTTCCACGTGTCATCTGAGAAGACAGTTTGGCTCTACATATCCCTTCCAGAGCTCTTAAGTACAACCTTGGAAATTGCTAATTGATGCCCATAAGATGACCTATAAAAGCCAACCTTAGCCCCACTGACAGAGACAGATTGTTAAAATTTTACTTTTTGATTGAAGACAGCAGAACTCATCTTCTAAGTATATGCGTTAAGGGAAGTATCATGTCAGCTCTTGTGGTACAGTTTGCAAGAGATTGAGACAGACAGCAAAGGATAGGTTGAAGAGGTAATAGAGCTGTGACATTGTAGGGATATGGAGGGAAAGAGGTGACATCAGAACAGGGTTCCGGTTTCTCTTAGTTGCCAATGACAGCACTGTTAGGTAAAATAGCCCAACTGCAAGCAAGCATGCACCAAACCTGATGACCTGAGTTCCACTCCTGGGATCAGCACAGTGGAGACAGAGAACTGAACACCAAGTTGTTCTCTGACCTCCATGTATTCACTGTGGTAGGCAAATGACCCCTCACCACCATACAATAAGTGAATGCAAAAAATATTTGAGAGTGTGAGTAAGCAAAGAAAATGAGGAAGATTGGTTTGCCTATTACATAACTTTACGTGATATACTGGTAGAATAAATTTATTACAATTCACATAATCTATAAATGTGTCCTTTTGTGTGTGTGCATATGTATATGTAAGTCTGTCTTTGTTAGTTCTTTATTGCTGTGACAAAACACAATGGCCAAGGGTATTAGTGAGGGTTCTCTAAGTAGAAAAATTTATAGAAAGTATCTTTATATATAAATAGGTGATTTATTATAATTATTTAAAGGTTGTGCTCTAGCTAATCCAACACTGGCTGCCTGGGAATAGACTGTCATTCGGTAGCTGCTTAGGCCACAAGTCTTAGAAAGAGAAAGAGAGGGAGGGAAAAGGAAGAGAGAGAGAGAGAAGCTTCTTTCTTCCATGTCCTTATTATAGGCTTCCAGTGGAAGGTGTGTCCAGATTAAAGGTGGATTTTCCTACCTTAAAAGATCTACATTAAAAGTTTAACTTTCCGCCCCAGTGATCCAGATTAGAAGTGGGTCTTCCACTTCAAGTGATTCAATTAGGAAAAAGAATGCATCACAGGTGTGTGCTCACTCATTTGGGTTTTAGTTAGTTCCAGATGTAGTCAAATTAACAACCAAGAACAGACGTCAAACCAGGGCATTCAAACTATCAAATTCCACGTCCTAATCCCTGAAGGCTAGCAGCCTATCATGAAGCAAAATACGTTCAAAAGTCCCCATGGTCTTTCACAGTCTCAACCATGTTTAAGACTTCAAGTCTCTTCTGAGGCTAAATCTTAATTATAACCCCCAGTAAAATCAAAACCCCCAATCAATACTTCCAATGTACAATGGCACACTATTGCAAAATGGAGGGATGGGGGCATAGTGAGGAAATACTAAACCGAAAAAAGACCCAAGTTCCACATCTCACATCAAAGGCTTAGAAAGCTCAGCTTTTCAGGCCTTGCTGACTGCAGCACACTCTCTCTTTTGGACAGTTCTACTCCTTGTCTGTAGCTTCTCTTGGCAGACATCCCACAGCCAAGGTATCACCAGCACCATCCAGGTTTCACTTTCACAACTGGAGTGCTCTCCTCTACCATATGCTTGGCCTCGGCAGCTCTCCTTAACTCTAGATGAAGGTTCTCCAACCTCGTCATTACTCTGTATTCTTCATGACTCTACAGCAGCTGGACAACAGTGCCAAGTTCTAGTGTTGCTTGGGATGGAGTCTGGCCTCTTCCTTGAATTCCATTCATTTATGCTTTTCTTTGTTGTTGCTTAGTAGGAGCATAAAACTCCCCCAGGTATTTCCTTTTTAAAATTTAAAGGTTTATTTGGACAAGGTTTATTTCAGTTTGTCATCAGCCCTCTACAATCCACAATCCACCTATCCCATGATTTCTAGTAGTAGTTTACTGTGTGCACTACCACACCTAGGTGTTTTGTTTTTCTTATCATGGAGTCCAGAGATGGAACCCAAGTTGTTGTAGGCCAGAGAATGCCTCACTGATTGAGCTAAAACCTCAGCCCTGATTTTCTTTTATAAATGAAAAATATTGCAGTCCTTGGACTGGAGAGTTGCCTCAGTGGATAAGGACACTTCCTATGCAATGTCTTCTCTCGGGACCAAGTTCCACCCTGGCACCCATGTGAAGGTGGATGAGAGAAGTGATTTCACAGAGTTCTCCTGTAACCTCCTCAAGTGCAGTTGTGGACATGCACACACCAGATGGGAACACAACCACATATAAAATGAAAAATGTTTAATAAAACATTGAAGTCATAAATGCTACAGAGACACTACTTCTGAAGTCCCTACCACTCTGAGTAGGGGCCTCCACTTGGGAAATTTAGAGTTTTATGTAACTGCTGCCACATGCTTTCACATATTCTTCATGAATCATTCAAAAGGATTCATGTCTTGGTAAATACTGAGAAATCCAGTGGCCTTTCAAATACATAATAGACTTGTAGATTCAGATTTTCCAGAGAGTCTTGCATCAGAACTTGTGAAATATGTCAACAGTGTTGTAGGAGGGCTGTTTATGTTGGACACTGTTCCACACCAGAAGGTCCTGCCTCGCTCTGTGATCCTATTTTCCCAATGGCAATCAGTTTCTGAGCATGGATGGCATACAACCTGACATGGAATACAAATGGGTGTTTTTAGTGAAGTTCTATACCTCAGTGATAAATATTATGATGACTGAATCTAATCAGAGGAACTTTTGGGTATTGTAATGGGAGATGTCATTCTGTAAATATGTTTCCCTTATTGGTTAATGAATAAAACCCTGTGGGCCAATAGGAAAGCAAGATAGGTGGGACTAGGAGACAAGGAGGATTCTGGGAGATGTAGGACATGACAGAAGAGGTAAGAACCTTTTCTCCAGTAATCTAAGACCACATGGAAACACTTAGATTAGTAGAAATAGGTTAATATTTAAGACAGAGCTATCCAATAAGAAACGTTAGCAACTGGCCAACAGCTTCGTAATGAATAGAGTCTCTGTGTGTTATTTTGGGACTGACACAGCTGTGGGACCAGACTGGAGGGAAAGTGCTTGTAAAAGTATTGGGAATGGTATATGATGATTGCCATCTGTGGAGCTGGTCATGAGACTAAATGACCACTGAGGTAGACACACTCTTGACATTGTAGGGAACAATGAGTTTTAAGGAAAATAAATACATTTCTGCTTATTGAAAACTGTTTTCTCCAATCTTAGTACTTGAAATGAAACTAGTATGTGTATGTATGTTGTGTGTGTGTGTGTGTGTGTTACAAATCAGATAATTTATTGAGTGTAAAATATGATTGAACAGTACTGTGTTCACTCATTTCTAAATGTCCAATGTTCAACTATTGTTTTTTTGTGTATGTTCTTAAAATGGTTGTTGTTGTTTTGTTTTTTGAGACAGGGATTCTCTGTAGTTTGGAGCCTGTCCTGGAACTCACTCTGGCCTTGAACTCACAGAGATCCACCTGTCTCTGCCTCCCACGTACTGAGATTAAATGTGTGCTCTTATATTAACGTGGCCATTAAGTTTGAAAGCATTTCCTTTCATAGTGAAGGAAGGGCATTTTTCAACCATGGCCCATGTTAGTTAGCAGCATCATATTAACTGAAGAAAGGTTTGATATATAATTTAATTGTCCTCTTGATGACATACAGAGTCTCATAAATACCCCATAAGATTCTATATTGTATTTTCTCCTTTACACACTATGATCAAAGTCACCTTGTTTCTCATCTTATTTTTATGGCACCAAATGAAAATTCAGTGGTGGAGGAAAGAGAAGCTCGCAGCTCAAATGGGCAACCTGAGCAAGCTGCACAAGAGGTGTACACACCAGAGAAGGACACAGCCATGGAGGAAGATGAACATTCCCAGCCTGAGGATGCCGACACTGATGCAGGACCGAGGGAGAAGTCGGGGAGGGAGGAAGATGAAGCCCAGCATCCCCAGGATGCTGACAGGAATGCTGAGCTGAGGGACAAAGTGGGGGTGGCAGAGGTCCTCTTGGGGAAGAGGAACCTCACCGAAGAGCAGCCAGCATTAGCAGAGCTGTGGGCAGAGGAAGGAGAGCACCCCCTGAGCACAGCTATTGAGGGAGAGGAAGGATCAGAAGGACATAGCAGCTGTGGTGGAGATCAGTTAAACCCCACAGGAAAAGTAGGAGTGGGTGTCTCACTGTCTCAGAGGGATGTGGACCCCGACAGGCAGGCCTTGCTGCAGACAGTGATGGAGAAGGGTAGGGCAGGTTCTGTAAGGGAACAGCTATTGGAGAAGGCAGCACTCAGAGACACCACAATGCTCAGCTCAGAGGCTCTGGGAGAATCAGCAGTTCTGAAAGAATCAGGGGCTCCTGAAATGGAAGAGGCAGAGAGGGAGGCGGGCTCTCCAAGACCAGAGGGCAACCAAGGCAAAGAGGGGACTCTCACAGAGCTAGAAGACATGGCGCCCGTGAAGGGAACAGTACCAGAGAGGGAGGAAGGTTTTGAAGATGCAATACTTGGAGGAGGGGAAGCAGCTACCAAGAGGAAGGACGTTCTAGAAGCAGAAGCACCCTTGAGTTCCTCATCAGGAGAAGCAAAAGCAAGCCCCTGGGAGGATGTCCAGGGCAACCCCGAGGCACTGTGCAAGGAACACAGAGCAAGGGAGGGAGTTGTGGCTGACACAGACTCTACCCTGGGACAGGATCCCAGAGTAGTATTCCCTGGGGGAGTAGCTGCATCTGGAGAATGGAAGAAAGTTGAGAGGCCTCCAACACCTCTGAGAGAAACCAGGTCTGAAAAAGAAGAGGTGACAGAGGTTAAGGTGTTGAAGACAGAAGAGAAGTTAGAAGAGCAAAAAGTTAAAGAGGAGGACACAGTGAAGGAAGTGAGGTCTGTGGAAGGGGTCCAGGCACCCCCCAACAAGACCGAGGCTGATGCTGAGGATATAGATCCTATAAGGGCAACCAAGTTGAGTGAGGACCCAAGAATTCTAGAAGATTCACCCAAAGAAAGAACCATCACCTTGTCTGAAGCTAGACTTCAATTTGGAAAATTGCTGGAAGAGAATAACACCAGAGCTACAGAGCATGAAGGAGAAGAATTTCCAGGCCAGGAAATTGAGGCTTCATTCCAGCAGGGGAGGGCACCCAGCCATGATGGAACCGGGTTGCTAGGAGCTCCTGGACCTGAACCAGCAGACAAAGCTTGGGTTCCTGAGAATGTTTTCAGAGCTCAAGAGTGGGCTGCCGAGGAGCTAGACAGCCTCAAAGGACCAGAGCGACTGGATGAAGAAGTCGTTTTGCAAGGCCAAAGAAGGGGCATCATGATGTCACATGGAGATCTTCCTGAGGAAAGGGTCACCATAGCAGAGGTGCTGAGTGGAGAGACTGAGAGAGAGAAGATGCAGGAAGAGGAGGGTGAGGGTAGAAAGTACCCTCCAGGGACGGGGACTGAGAGCCCGGCAGGGCAGGACTGGGCCATGGGAAGAGACACAGTCACAGATGAGGAGGATTCACATGGAGGAAGAGTTAGAGAGCAGAGGGAAGGGTTGGCAGAGTCAGTGTCAACTTATGGGGACAGTGTGGCCTCCTCCTCTTCAGACGGCCAGAAGGAGACTCGGAACAGAGCAGGCGAGGCTCCAGGAGACACAGCAGCTGAGGACAGGGGGCCAAGGACAGGGAAGGTGGCAGTGGCAGAGGAGATGGCATCAGCAGGGGCTGTGGAGAACACAGAGGAACAGCAGGCTCCTGAAGTGCAGGACTCTGAGGGAGGGGAAGAGAAGCCCTCTCAGTAGGCAGGAATAGCTGGAGAGGAGGGCGCAACTTGGAGGCAGCATGGGGGACACTGGTCAGGAGCAGCTGGAGAGGTCAGAGGACCTGTGCCTCAAAGAGATTGCTTAGCAGTGTCTAGAGGCAGCATTTCCCAGGGATCTGGAGTTTTCTAGAACCCTGGAGAAAGAAAGTGCAAAGAGAAAGTGAGAGTGTGGATGTTGCATTGAACACAGTGGGGTAGGAGGCTCCATGACAGCTGCTTAGCTTCGTTCTGCTGTGATTGCAGGACACTGGAAACCGTGCATGGGTCTCCTGTCTGTGGGGCAGGCTTCACTGGTGTCTACTGTATTGTTGACATATAGCCTCCAATTCCGTGCTGCATGCTGGGCTCCAGGCTGGCCTGAAGGGTCTGTTGGGCATGGGGAAGGGTCTAGAGCACACACAGGAGGAGGCTGACCAAGTTCACTAACTCCATGTGGCCCGTTATCCATATGTTATCTTCGAAAATGGGGTTCCCCGAAATGGGATGTTCATGTCTCACAAGTCTCAAGGACAGAATATACAACACACAGAGAAGCCAGACATTGAGGAGCTGGGGGTGAGGAAAGAATATGAACAAAATATATTGTATAAAAAGATATACAGAGAAGAATGTGCCCCCAGCTACAAAGCCCAGACATAAGGGGTTAAACTCACTCTAACTCTTTCCACATTACCGTTTTCACACACACACACACACACACACACACACACACACACACACACACACACTGCGCTTCGATCAAATCCACCTCCTCCTTTCCCCTCCAACCCCTCTCAAACCCTCACCACCACTTCGAAGGATGGAACAAAGCTTGTCTGTGGTCATCTAGTCATGTAATGCATCTATACTTCTGCCTCCGATGTTTCACAAAGTGTGATAAATGTATGTTTTCCATGTATAGATTATAAATACTTGATATGCAATGTTTATTGTACGTATACTTGTAAAGAGTACAGTTTTTCCGCCTGCCGCAGCCCTGTGTTGTCCCGCTGCCGCGCCAGCCCCAAATGACACACAGAGACTCTGTATTTGATATAATGCTGTTGGCCCGGTTACTTGTTTCTTATCGGCTAGCTCTGTCTTAATTATTAACCCATTTCTGCTGATCTATGTATTTTCACATGGCCTTCTCTTACCGGGGAGGCAGCTGGCGTCCAGCTCTCTCCAGACTTATACTTAATATGATGTCTAAATGCCTAAGTTTTGAATAGCGGAAGTGAACATGAAAATTTGTTTATATCTGCTGTTTCCAAGACATCTTTACATCGTTAGTGCCTACTTTCTATTATTTGAATGATTTTATCCATAGTGCTCCCCCCACCCCAACATATGGTGAAATGGTCACAGTTAAAGATGTAGAGTAGACGGGCACTTCTCCAGTAATTTAGATTTCTTTGAACTCATTGTTGGGCCTGTGTTGGTCTTGGTCTGTACGCGCTGGTCAGTAGGTTTGTAACCATTGTGAAATAGCTCAGGTAGATTTACCCGCAGGGGAGCTATAGCCCCAAACAAAGACTAGAGGTTATTGAACATATTTAAATCAAAATTATTTAAATCTACTGTATTTAAATTAAAGTGATGACTTTCAAACATTTGACTTTTACCAAAGATTATCAGAAGGGCAGCCCTGATGGCTTGAATTTGTTTAAATTGCTTTTTTATTTTGCGGTTAGATATTAGTCCTAATTTCATGCATGGGATTGTGTCTTAATCACCTGGTTTTTGGAAATGAGCTGCTTGGCATCTTCCATGTCTACTTAAAACTGAGGATTGCCCCAAGCCTTTCCAAATCCTTTCAGGAAAAGGAGTCCATCGCATGGGAATTCACTTTCTTTTGGAAACATTAAATATTCCTATTTGCACCTGGGGTGTGTGTGTGTGTGTGTAAAGTGGGAACATTCCTGAAAAATACCCTTTCTTTGTATGCCTTTGTGTCCCATTTTCTCTAGTGAACTAGCAAAGTGTGGCTTTTAGCACTTTTGTCCTTGGAAGTGTTGTTTATCAGGCAGCTCCAATGCAAAACCAAAAAAAAATAAAAAATAAATAGTACTTAATCTAGGCAACTGTGAGGAGTGTAATGACTGCAATGGGAAGATATGATCCATCACACACACTCTGAGAAGACATGGTCTATCACACATAGTCTGAGAAACCTTGGTCCATCCCGCATACTCTGGGAATATGTGGTCTACCACACATACTCTGGGAAGGCATGGCCTATCACACACACTCTTAGAAGACATGGTCTATCACACATACACTGGGAAGACACAGTCTATCACACACTTTGGGAAGACATGGTCCATCACAAATACTCTGGGAAGACATGGTCCATCACAAATACTCTGGGAAGACATGGTCTATCACACACATCTGGGAAGACATGGTCTATCACACACTCTGGGAAGACATGGTCTATCACACACACCTGGGAAGAGATGGTCCATCCCATGTACTCTGTAGCTGAAGTCGTTCTGAAGATCGATAGCCTGCACTATTTCTTGGGTTTTGTTATTTCAAAACTCAGTGAATACACAGCCCATAGTAGTCATAACAACTTTCCAGGTGATGACCATATACAATTCCCAAGTTGGGTATCAGCATAATCTGAGGGTCTAAGTCTTCTTGAAGGTACCCACACATCAAGCTCACATGATTGGTCCACTTTCTACAAGTGAGGAGATGGAGCATCAACCCCAGCCAGGAGGAGAATCAACCTGTCCTGGGGCACTTTAATGACTGAATTCCTTCCCTACCACAAAGCTTCAGATATATTTGGTTTTTAATTAACCCGTGCATCAATATTTTAAGTTTGATCTTGATTCTACTACATGCAAAGCCAAAGTTGAGGACCCCTTCCCTGAGACGCCAGGCAGTCATGCTGTCTGCCATCTGCTCTGTGTTGTTATTGTCAAGGTGTCTGTTGTCACAGATGGTTTACGTTTTGATGAACAATGGAGCTTTGTGATAATCCATGATGTACCATAGCAGACATTACTGGGACAGAGAGTGGACAGACCATTTTATCACAGACATCATCACCTGGAGCTTGCCACCTGCCCTCTTCTCATAATTAGATACTGCAGAGGGTTCTGGGGGAGGGGGAGCTACAAACTGTTGCGTTACGATACCTTGGAGGTGGCTCTAAAGTGCACCAAAGCCCGGGACACTGTGCAGATGGATCATTAGTGGACTCCTTGTGGTTGGAAAAGAGGTTGTGAGAGCACTGTCAAGTTCATCTGGGTGCCTTTGTCTTCTGTGATGAAGCATACTGAACGTCCTCTTGTATTGTCGTTCTAAACGAAATGGTGAGCACCACAGAAGTGATAAATCCATAAATCCCCCCTTTAGCTCATTTCTTCATGGAGTGTGTTTGGTACTTCCCTTTCCCACTGAAGAAGCAAGGTGACTGAATCTGACAGCAGCCTCCCTGCCCTGGGCCATGTTCAATGGCTGTATCTCATCTCCTCCACATCTGGGCCCACAGCATCACTGTGAGTGCTGTAGGAGTTCATCCCAGAGTTATCTTCTACACCACAGAGCACTTTGAACACAAGCACGGATGAGAAAGATTTTACAAACTTGTTAATCACTTTGAAAAATAAGTTTTGTGCAATGTGCTAAATGGAAATTGCCTTGGATTATTTTTATATTTAACACTTTCTATCAGCTCACTCTGCACCACAATTCTGTAATCTGCATGTGGGTTTAACCGTGAAATTCAGTGTTGTGATGTTTTGATTTGAGTGAATTTTATCTTTGCAAATATTACATAAATAAAATTATGCTTGGCAAAACTGATTTTTCCATAGTTTCTTTACTATTAAAAAATAAGTAAAACATTTACAGGCATGATAGGAGAGTTTTCTTGGGAAACAAGACTAGACTTTTAAGATGTTTTGTGTTATTTTCTTGCAAAATTTGAATGATAAAGGCAGACAAAAGAGACATGGCATTATGGGGCTATACTTTTAAGTGTCTGCATTCATCTGTGTTGTCTATATACCTGGGATAATGCCAGAGAGAGGAATTATTCCCTCTTTATTGACAAGTGTAAATGGAAGGTCAGTGTAGTTAAGTGCCTGTCTAAAATCACAGTCAATCTCAGGCCATCTAGCTTCTACCTTAGCCTAGCTTTGAAAACACTATATGTTATGTCAAGGAAGATTCTAGACTAGTATAAGGAGAAAACACCATACCAACACATCTTCTAATAGTAAGGCACAACTGCATTTCCATCCAGTGTTCACCAAAGAGCAAAGAAGTTTACATGACTCAGGAGGTGACAGATTGCCAAGGAAATTTAGGAAGGATTAGGCTCTGTGATTAAATTTAGAGGAGAGCCTTTCCTATCACTTTATAAACTTCTGTGAGGTAAATTTACAGCATAGGTAAGTTCCTCATGATCATTCTCATGATGAATAATTTGCCACAGTTCTTGCCCTTGGAAAATGATTGTTTGAACAAAGAAGAGAAAAATCTCAAAGGAATTTATTTAGTGGGTGAAACATTTGAACAGGCTCAAGGACAGCCCTGGAGACGCCGCTTATGACCTTGGGTAATATTCCCTCCAGTTCTTCTCTACACTCGATTTTGTCATAGAAAGGAAGGAAGGAAGGAAGGAAGGAAGGAAGGAATTCCCTGTTACCATGGTTTACAGGAGAGAATGGGGTAAATAAAGAATCATTTTCGCACGAATGCTTGAAAGCCAGCTCTAACTAAGCCTCTTTTCTTTTGTTCAGTTTTCTTTCTCTCTACACACCAACAACAGGGAAACTGTGCCACCCACAGCAGCAGGAAATTGATGTTCAGAGAACAAAGCGTGGGGTAGTTGATAATCACATGGCTTTTATAATTCCTTCCAGATTGCTCAGACTCTTTAGCCATCTGTGTGACCCTTACACTAACTTGGAATGTGGCTGTACACCCATTCTATAAGCGGAAAGAAGGTATACAGAAGATTCAGAGACAAGCTGCTGT